CCAGGGCATTCGACTCGGGATCATGACAACCGAGTACATCATGGTGTCACGTGACTCTCAGTGCGAAGTTGTGATGTCATGTGACGTCACGGTATCAACAACGTTAATAGATCTAGCGACGTTCTCAATTTGAATCGACTTAACGCGGTGAATCACGTGACGTCACGGGGTCACGTGATGTGACATTACTTGACAGCATGTCTTAACATCATGACGTCACGTGACGATGTGACACATGGCTAGTCATAGTGCCAATAAGAAAGCGCCGCAAAAAACCAGGATTTATTATACATTGCAATTCTGTATATGACGATTTGATCAATACGTAGAGGAATACACGTGCCAATTTTTTATTTTCAAATAATAAATTTGTAATACTAACAAAAAAAATACCGTGAACCGTTTTGAACCGGTTACCGTTATATTTTTTTCCGGTTCAGTTCCAAGATGGCGGCGAAGATTTCGGTTCGGTTCAGTTCCGGTTCGGCTAAAAATAACGGTTCTGTTCCGGTTTTCGGTTCGGTTCTGTTCCGGTTCGACACCCTGGTTGTAACGACACATATAAAACATTTTTATTTATTTTTTTGTGCCAAGATTTTTTTTTTTTTTTTTTTTTGTGCGGAGTTTGTTTTTTTAACTTCTCTTTTGAACTGCTTCTCTGCGTGAGCAACCGTTTTGGGCTGAAAATATTTTTTCTGTACGTGTAATTTTTAGAGTATTTTTTAGCTTTCTCTCCTTCTGAATCACTCTTTTTTGCTCAATTTTGTTTGCAACTTGAGCTTTTGGAATTTTCTTTCTTTCCTTCTTTTTTTTTTGGGGGGAAGGGACAGGCTAGTACACGATTGTTTGAGCGTTTTTGGAAGCCTTCCCGGGGTGGGAAAAGTTTGATATAGCCAATATGTTATTCACTATAAAAAGCACTTTTTACATGCAATTTTATTTAAACCTTCCGCGAGTTTGATAACGACAATAATTCGCTGTACGCGGGTTCCTTCTAAACGGGTTTCACTGCACTAAAATAAATATTACTTCTCATAACTTGGAGAAACGTCAATTTCTTCAATGTGTTCCAGCATAACAGTGTAAAGTTTGCATTGCACTGCAGAACATTTTCACTCTTCACCTTGTCCTCCCGCTGGCTGGCTGTTTCATGATCGGTGCGTGTATTATACGCCTTGTATGTCATTTACGAGAAGAATTCCAGATGAGACAACCAATTATCACTTTTATTGTTAGGCTTACGAAGAGAATGCGGAGCACGGAAGCGGTTTCAGCAGAAGTAAAGACCCTAAACACAAACAAAAAAAAAAGTTACACCAGATGTTTGTCTAACCTTTCAAACACGCGGCCCGCAGGCAAAGCGGCTATGAGTCCCGGTTCCCATGTCTCAAGCGCTAGAAGTGACATGTGCCATAGTGATCTCGTCTCAACGTTTCATTTTCGCTCGAAAAGTACCTCTGTTCTTTTAATATATACACACAGTTTTTACTTATCTGTGTTCATTTGCCCTTTGTTTCACTTTATTTTTTGCTTCACAGCTTTTTGTAATCTACAACAATTCCACTACTAGGCTGCAAGTGCGAGCTCTTTGTTGAAGGATGCATATCAGCTGCGCAAACTATCACCAGGAGTAATTGCCAAAGATAAAGCTACAAGCTCGGAATTCTCGCCTTAAAGAAGAAAAAAAAAAAATCACCATTAAAAGAAGAGTATTTGCTCAGGGTGTTGTAATAAAAATCGTCAGGAAAGAAAGACCTGACAATTTAACTGATTGTTATTTTAGAGGCAGGTTGTGCCTGGTTAACGCCCCAGTGAATTGAGCAAGGGGAACGACAGTGTATTTGCTCTCTTGTTCAATTAAAAATGCCAGCTTCTGTCGGCGGGGCGGTGTCATTTTAAGTTTTGTTATCACATCAGGTTAGGGCCCAAAGTAACCATATAAAGAAATTGAATCTAAAGATGGCACTGGCAAAGCCACGTTTACAAAAAAAAACATAAAACACAAGGTGTCTCCTCTTTAAAATCTTTTTTTTACAGCGGACCTGTTATGGGCTAGGTTCCCGAGGATCGTGTCCGGTACAAAATACTTGTCGACAAAAACGCCTCTGGACAGCTACCGCCATCAATAAGCGACGGCGGCAAGCACACAACCAGTATGGCTGCCGCCATCGCTCGTAGATGGCGCCAACCTTTCCAGCTATTATAGAAGAATGAATAGTTGGCGGCGCGTTGGTGGGAATTCATCGTAAGAAATAGCGCGAAAAATAGATGACGACAAAGAAGAAGCACACATAACGAGCGCAGCGCTCGTCACGTGTGTTTCTTCGTCCTCGTCTGTTTTGCGCGTTGCTTCCTACGCTCTTATCAGTTTCGGTTTGGACTTAGGATGGGCCGGCCGAGCGCCCTTTCGGGGAAAAAAGACTGGCTGCGGAGGGAGCGGCGATGTACGCAGCAGCGCGAATGGGTCCATAACCGCCGCAAAGCCCCTGTCACCTCGACTTCCACTGCGTAGGGTGCTTCAGATTCCCTTGCCAAACAAAAGCACATCGCTCGCCTGGAAAGCCGTCGCCGAGAACAGAACCAGCGATGTAAAGGGTGCCGGCAGGCCAACGCCACGGACGACGATCGTGCCATGGAGGCCAAGCGCAAGCACAAGGCCCGGCGATGACTGCACTCCACGCTGGCTGAACAGTTCCCGGGCGCGACGGCGATGTTCCGGAGGGAGTTTGTAGATTACCCGTCTGGTGTCACGTGCGCCGTGTGCGACCGACTCTGGGTCGCCAGACGTATCCACGATCAGCGGCGCGCCGGACAAAAAGAAGCGGGAAACGGGCGCGTGCGCGTTGCGGCAGTGTATCAAGTAGAACTCCGCTGGTCTTCCTTCTTCACGAGAGTGGAAAGGCTGAATGTTTTTTTTTTTTAATTTAATTTAATTTAAATTAAATTAAAATCCCCGTCTAGCCCCCACACTCAAATAAGTTTGAGACCACCGGGTCATATGATCGGTGAATGTATGCCAGCATTGTTCGGATCTGCATGCGTGGTGCTGTAGCACCCGGTAGGGATAGACTATGAGACGAAGGTGACGACCGAAAAACTAATGTTTACTTTTCGTATATCGCTTATATAACCTGATGGCGCCAGCAGTGCCATCTGTTAGGCATGACAACAAATACAACAATAGGGCGGCGACCCCTACAGGCGTGCTGTTAGGTATGTTTATATGTGCAATGTAATGCACGCAGAACTTTGGGTGCACGCAGCCATGTTCCGTGCCACTCAGTCAAAAATAAACAGCAAACTGATATGCCGGTACTTCTGACAAAGCCTCCTAGGCAAGTCTCATTTTCGGAGATCAGAGATCTACAAGCCGTCAGTGGCAGAGCTGTGGCACTGACGGAACAAAGCAACCCGCTCAAACAAGTGCTTCGAAGGCACTGGCGCGGGGTGTATTGCCTCTCTGTGGAGCCTGCGCTCACAAACAGAAATAAACATGCAACTTTTATTGTATGTTGCTCATATTCGTCGAAAGGCATATTTCTAAACAACAAGATAGTTTAGTTTTCCTCATGTTCGAAACGGACGAGTTAGACCATAGCCCCTTATATAGGAGGCTATGGTTAAACAAACACCAAATCCCGCGGTTTTCCTTCCTTCTGCAGGCGCTTGACGGCTCATTGTGGCACCATGAATTGAGACAGAACACTGTGTCCATTTACCTGGTGCGATATAAATCATGGTATTTCTCCTTAGATGAAAATAGGCACTTAGCGCTTGTTAGCGTGTTCAAGAAGTTTGAACAAAGTCGATGACAGTCAGCTGCCTCGATTTCGACACGACCACATCGGTTCAGGGTGATCTAAACGACCACAACATGGTATACTACGGTAGACAGTAAAAAAAAATACTAATAAATTTAGCGATACAAAAAAAAAAAAGAAGCTTCTTTGGCCAGTTTTGGCATGAAATTTGTGCTTGGGAGTGGGATGGCACAGCAAAAGTGAAATAGTGCACAATGGCACAATGGGTGCAGCGCCTCCGTCCCTTTTTACATGGGGTTGTCTGCTCACTTATTGGAGAGCTAAAGACATGAGCTTGGAGAGGGGGGGGAGGTGGAGGGGGGGTGCATTTCACCAATTGTTTTAGGAGCTGTGATGACATGCAAGTCTAGATTAAAATCAAGTTTTATTGTTTTAGTTCTACCTCTCGCAATACAGGGTCCAAAACAAGTTGCAAAAATACTACCTCCTCTTAATGTGTATGTTTACTCTCCGTGTTGCATTATCCCATATCTTAAAGGGGCGGTGCAACGATTTTATGGTTAAAAGAATTTGCATCTCGTAATTTTTACATTGTTTATCGTGTCCCGGAGGATAGAGAAAACACCTCCTTCATTAAAAATGTCACCATTCCGCTGCATAATCGCAAAGCAAAAGTCAAGCTTTTTCCCCCCACCTGCAGCCCCAATTGGCAGCCAAAGGAACTACGGCGAGAAGATTACGTGACCTCGCTCGGCTCTAAGCTGCAACATAACACCCGCTAATGTCAGCAGAGAGAGAGGGAGAGGAAGCGTCCTCTGAGAGAGCACACGGGAACCTACACGGCACTCCCAATGACGTCACTAGGAGGGGGACCAGGTGTGACCCTGAAGGCTGGGAGCGAGTTGAGTGGTGCCCGAAATGCCAATATTTCTCTTTTTTTTAAGCAACAACTAGAACACGCAGGCGAAATCCGTTTACTGTTCTTTACTTGAGCAGTTACTTGAGAAGTGACAGAGGGCAACCTCCAGAAATCTTTGACCAAAGTCCGGAAATCGTTGCACCCCCCACTTTAATATGTTTAACCAACTAGCCCACCAGATGATCTTGATGCGGGGCATCCAAGGAATGATGCAAATCTACAACATTAGATGACAGAATGTTAATATCAAGTAATCCAACGTTCCTTTTAGTTCATGTTAAGATGTGCATGTGAGACAAACACAAAAAAAAAGTTCTCACCTTTTGGTTCTGGCTTATTAGTGGTTGAGCTATGTTGTAAGACTCCTTAGGACAGCAGTAGATGAGTTTGGCCCCCATTGCCTGTTGGAAAATAAAAGATTAGCCTCATTACACTAGTGTAAGTGTAATGGTGTAACTTATATCAAATGATTCACGAACAAATGTATCTTACCAATAAATATCTCCGTGTTCACATTACTTCTAATGTGTCGTGAAAAACTCCTACCCATCACGTAATTGCTAACGCTAAATCTATGCTTGAATAACCAAAACGAAATTTTACGCTAGACCCAATGTTATTCAAATTACTTTTTGTAAAAATCTAGTTTGATCCAAGCTGGAATACGCCGTTCGGAGATCTGCAAAGTTGCAGCGTACGTTTTGTACTCTCTTACTATCATCATAGTGCTAGTGGCTAATCTAGGAAAGTCACTCTATCCCTGCCGCTTCTTTTATTAAAATCAAAAAATATCTCGTTTATGCATTTCTACGGAAATGATTATTTTAATGCTCTACTAAAAAACAGACTACAGTCGCCAGCCGATTTTTCGGACGCCAATAATTCGGATTTGTTCGCTACTTCGAACCTAAAGAAGGAACTGTGACCTACCCGATAGAAATAATGCATATTCACGACCAATGTTTCAGACAGCTCTAGTCCGAATTTAAATTTTACGGACATAACTGTCGCGAGCGATCGGCGGAAAACACAACTGAGAAGCGGCCCTTTTGGATTCTATGTTGGCTGCACATGGATTGGCTTAGTTTGGCATTAATACTCGAGTACTGCTAAGTCCTACCGCTAGGTCTGTGTTCCAAAATTTACTCGATCCGACTCCGGTGTAAAGGTTTCGTACCGTGACGTTCCAAAACTTACTCGCGCTTGCTCGATGACGTCGGAACTCGCATTCCAGAAGCGAGTTGTTTACTCCCCAGTAATTACTCACGCTACCCTTCTCAATCGCAGGATGACATTAGATAAAATTGAGTAAATATGTCACGTGATCTGTTCGTCGTCTGCTTTCTGCGCCGACAGCCGTCAAAGCTCGTTTGCTCCATTGGCTTTAGTGGTGGTTGTTCGAAATTACGAAGAATGAGGTGCAGTCGTTTATGAGTGGCTATTGTGATTTGCTGGTTTTAACGCAAGAATTGACTGCAGACCCAGGCTGTGCACCTTCACCGGGAAGGTATACCCACTGTTATTATCATAGTGCGAGCGTAAACAGGAGCTTCTTTGCATCCTCGTCCTTGGTGTTTGAGGGAATTCCGTATTACCACATTCACGGCTCAAAATATTTGAATACAGTAGATGATGCAAAAGTATTTTTTTCCCCAGAGGGTCTGTAATAAGAGGATAAGGCTCGTAAGGCAATGAAAACTTCGAAGATTTTATGTATATGATCAGTCAACAATCCCTCCCCAAGAAATTGGCTATTCGCAACTCCAACGCCCTATAGGTGGCGGGGCGGTAGCTCCAAGATGGCGGAAGAGACGGGGATAGATTCTCCAGGATTTCCCGTGCGCCCGCTCGCTGACGCTGGTCAGTGCGCTAAAAATGATTTATTTGTCCACAAATGCGAAGCGGTTAGGGCAAGATCATATAGTACAGATGATGGAGATGTTGATGCGCGTTAAGAAAACGAGCATGCTGATATTTAAAAGTTGCCGAAACATCAACTTGCGAAGCTGTGTGGTGGGCGAGCGCATTCTCGGCACCGGCTACGTCACTGTTTATTTGTGGAAGAATAGTTCTTGGGGGGGGGGGGGGGGGGGGGGGGGGGGGGATGAAGTTATCGTGTTTGCGCTTTGCCTGGCCATTAGTGCCCTGAAAAGTGAGCCGCGCACAATGGCCATCAAACTTCAGGAAAGACGCGTTCACAGTAATGATGTGTTCATGTCACAGGCTCACAACTAGCTGCTCACCGTCTCGGTTTTAGTGTACTGCAACACGTGATCAAACTGCTCAATGGTTATTGATAGAAAGGTTGTTGCCGCAAGCTACCGTGCGGTGTGACATTACAACAGGAAGCTCACTCTGCGCCTTTGAAGCACAATAGAGAGTTTTCATAGACCGTTTTCGTCATTCCCCAAAGCTCTCCGCAACCCGCTACGATACCCGGAACTCTAAATTGAAGGCTATCGGCGCGCAGGCGCAGTAGCAACTTCTTCGTTGCGGAGGGCTTAGCGGAGGGGGAAACGCGGCCTACGAGAACTCCCTAATTTTTAGCACGCGCCAGGAACGTTGCTGTGCTCGCGGTAGCCAACGGTAGCCTGCGGTAACGCCATGCTAAAACGGCCTATTTCTGCGGCAACGCCATGCTAAAACGGCCTATTAAAATAATCGGCGTATTTAGGGGTTTTATTCATTGCTCTAGCTATCAAAAATAAATAATTTAGTCTACCATACATTTTTTGTACTTTGTTATTTGCAACGTTGCGGCCCCTCTCGCCAGAACTTCCCGTTGTAAGCTCTCGTTACGAACGGCTGGCTAACACTGACGCGATGACAATGCTTTGAGCATTTCTTTATTTGCTTTGTAATTATCTAAAACCAAGTACGGGTATTTCGTCTTTCTAAAGTGCTTGAAATAAATGATAATGTTCCTTGTAACGGCCTTAAAACGTAAACCCATTTCCGATGTGTATTGCTCGACATACTCTTGCGCGACGAGTTTTCTCCTACTTATGGCAAAGAATAGACTCTTCGTAGACCGTACTCTAGAGCTTCACATTATTAGCGGGAGATTTCGCCGTCACGTGGAACACAGATTGAGCTGGCGGCCATGCACAAGACCAGAAATCCGCAGAGTATATGTGGTATACGAAAAGTCCCTAATGGAATTAGACATCCCGATTCTTCGTGCAACGCTGTTGCAAGGCGGAGCACAAGAATTCCCATTTTAGCGCGCTCATTTTTTTTTCGTTAAAAAGGCTTGACGCATCAAGGCCGACAGTCCCTGCCACCGTTCCCGCGCCGCCTCCGCCGCTGCCGTCCCCGCTCCTCTGGTTCTCCGTTCGTCCGCGAGAGGGCAAGCGGCGCGCTGGAGTTGCGAATAGCGGTTTAAAAAATTTTCTTTGTGACTTTGTGATTATATTCACGTCAAAGCGAACATAAGTTACATATCACTATTGAGAAAGCCCTCTGCGCTGTCCCGCTACACCATGTGGAAGCAATTTCTGCAAAACATAATCGGGGCAAATTACGATGCGTGGAATGTATGCGTTCAGAGTGCCTGGACTGAACTTGCAGCGATTGCACTGATTAATAAAAAAATTTTTTTGATGTCTAACTGAAAGGAGTAAGTAATTTTGATCTCAATATACAACCCAAAAGGAGCTGGTGGAGCCACTTCAGAAAACATCGCAGAGTCATTAATATCAGTCTCTTTGGTTGCTTTCTCCATGATCAAAAAAGATTGTCTGCTATTTTCTGCCACCACTGCTGTGTTTTCTTTTTGCTGTAGCCGAAGATGAAGCTAGTCCGCGTAGTATCCAGGTGATTATAACGGCCGTTCCAAAATCGAGTTGCGGATTGTTTACTCGCGATATCACGTGGCATTGCCCGCTGATGCAGGAGACAGGTTACTCGGGTAAGATTTGGCACGACTTTTCTTTCTCTAGCTGCGCGTCATTATCATCATCATTGTTGTTACCACTTTACTTTGTTCATTCGTCATTGCAGTCGTGGACTTGCACCTCTCATCTCGATCTCGTCTCGGTGAATCATGTTTTCGGACTATGCTGGCTTGGCCGTCATTGCCCCATTCATTCTTCCGCCGCCGCTATGAGTCACTAAGAAGCACAGAAAGTACTCCACCATAACGCCAGAAAAGAATGCAGTGATTCTGAAGCTAATAGAAAGTTGCCGAAGGCAAGGGGAGGCGCAACCTGAAACAAGGTGTGCATGCGTAACCTGAAGCAAGGCACTATTTACGGGTTTTTTAAGCTCGCTTAGACGTAATAAAGGCAATCTTTTTCATCTGGTGATTTTCCGAAATGCGCTATTATTTGGACATTTTTTCGGTCCCTGCGAAGTCAGAAAAATCGGTCGGCGACTGTATTCCTTAGCTCCTCGTAAGTTTCAACACGAGTCAATCGTCAGTTTGTAGTTGGCCTACCTTATTAGTAGAGCCCTGCATGTCCGCAGATTATCCACGGATATCCGCGGTAAACTGACGGATTCGGATAAAAATGATTCAAATTTGGCAGATTGCGGATCGAATGCGGATGCCAGGGGCTGCGGATGCAGATCGGATATCCGCAAGTCCGGATGTCCGCATCCGCAATGAGTGAGTGGTAATACGAAAGTGTATCATCAAATGTATCGAAGGGGCAAAATACACTCTTAAAATAAATGTGCCAATTGGGAATAAAATCAATATTTACATCAATAAAGATTTGAGTCTCACTAAATATTGCTTTAGAAGGTTTTATCTTGCCAAAAATACTGCCCCCGGAAAAAGGGAAGAATGCAGGAGTATCAGTCGTCGCTAATATGATACTATAATTTTTTTTTTTTTTAAGTTTTAATAATGCTTGATTTTATTATGTAAAATGAATGCGCAGATCGAGAGTCGGAGAGGGTTCCAAATTTTGCGGATGCAGTTCGGATACGGATACAAAGTCTGCAGATGCAGATCGGAAGCGGATACAGAGAAAAAGAAATTCTTCAAAAAACACTGATTTTTATAAATTACATATTTACATCCATCTACATCCAGAGAGTATTCCCAGAAATTTTCACTAGATTACACTGCATAGTTAATTTTTTATAAATTATTTTCTGTCCACCGAAGCTAAAGAAAAGGTAGGGTATGAAGCACTTTGAACGCAATTTTCTGCGTTCCACTTTTTGGTATAAATTCCATTTTAGTCGATCTATCGTTTGATAATGGCAATACAGGGAAGGCTCGTTCTTCACTTTTCCTGACGGAAATTTAATAAGGAATGCGCCTATGGAGTTTGTTTGTCACTTTACAGATGTCTTTTATAAAATATGTTGACATTTTGTCGGGGACACAGAAGACCAAAAAGTTGACCAATTTTGCAGAAGAGAAAATTGATAGAAATCAATGACTTTTTACAAAAAACTTTCCATAGGCACACCCCCTAAGCATTCTGCTACATATCTAGCGAATAAAAATCTTGAATATTGTGATAGTTTTCCGACGATAGATTAACTAAACAATGTAGGGGTGTTGCTGATAGAAGCTGCTCTAATTTCCTTCCCACTTAACCGACAGACCTGAAATTGTGTTATGCACCCTCTAGCATGACCACAAGCCTACCCTGTAAATTTCATTAATTTTAAGCCAAGGGTTCAAAACTTGACCCTCCCAGGGGTGTCTCCCCTTAAGAACATTGCAGATGCGGATACAAAGTCAGCGGATGCAGATCGGATCCGGATGATCAAACTGTTATCTGTGCAGGGCTCTAATTATTGTGAAACATCAGCTTACATTGATGCCCACCCACCAAAAAGGTCATCTGCCTTCCAGCACCTTCAGTAAATGTATCATTACCTGATTTACTTAAAGAGGTGTAACCTATCGCCTTTGCTAATATTGTAACGGACAGATTACTTTCTAACAAAATTGCATTCTTCGTTTGTATTTACAGCACCATTCGTTAGGCACCTATGAAAGGTGCCTAGCCAATGACACTATCCCTGCCTCGTCATTCGCCAGCCACCTTTCGTAGATTGCAGCGATTGGCTATGACTGTGCTCTGTATGGAAGCAACTGAGGAAGGCTTGTTCTTACACGACGCATAAATTATTCGAGTAACTGAGGTACCAATGCGGACAATAAGAGCTGAAACAGTCCTTCGCACATCGTTGGCGTGCCTGCCGGTTTCTTGGAGGGCTGTGGTCCAAACTAGGAAGGAAATGCGGAGTTGAAGTCCCAGACTTCAGACTATTCGACAAATCGAGAGATAGTAGAGCTTACCCATCCGGTCTTTTTCTGCAGTAGCACAAAAAGGACGGATAGAGTGTTTCGGCTCGTACCGTCCGTGGGGGAACATGGATGCGTGGAAAGTGACAGGCAAGACGCAAAACCATGCTACCCTGTAGTTTGTAGCATCCGCGAGATGGGAACGGACGCCGCCCTCGTACGCACCTTGGCCTCGGTGATCTTGCGGACAGACCGCGAGTACGCCCGAGCCGCTCGCGAGTGCGCCTCCTTCTGGGCGACGGACAGGGGCTCGCAGTCGCACTCCATCAGCAGGGGCAGCACCACGTCCGGGTTCAGAGGATTCTTGGCAGAGAGTATGCGTGCCGAAAAACTCCTGGCCGGTGTATGGTACGGCGTCGATCGGACCCCATGCTGAGACCAAAGATGCGGAGCACGACCGTTAGCGGCAGCCTCACAACGTAGTCATGGAATGTTTGTGCTGCCAATTTCCCGTCATTGCAAGCTCCTTATAGTAGACATGTGAGAGTATAAATAGTTGCTAATAAATTGAGAATGGCAGGGTCTTGCCTTTCGAAAGCCCAGCCTCTGGCAGGCGCTCCATGCTCTCCGCCAAGCTTTGACTGCACGCCCGCGATTGAGGTGCATAAGACGCCAAAGCTGACGAAGGTAGGCAGCCCACGCCAAAGGTTGGACAACCGAAGATGCTCCCTCTGCTATTCTCACCTTGCCAGCGACTATAGTACTTTTGAAAGCAGAATGCTTTTACGGGCTGGTTTCCAAGTGTAGAGCGCCACGAAAGGTCCCTACAAAAACGTTACAATACAGCCGAGTCACGTAGCCTCAATTAAGCGGAAAGCGTTTCAACCAAATTACCTCACGTATGTCTCGACGTCAAGCAACTTTTCTCCAAAAATTTAGCGGGAGAACTTCCTGCTAGAAAAACAAGAGGTGGCTGCCAGATCTCTGGTCTTTATACCGGTGCCTGGTGTCGCAGAAGACAGTGATGCACCTACCATGGGACCAGGGGCCGGTGCTCCGGGTGCCTGGGGGATTCTGTTGAAGGGACCCCCCTCTGCTCGCACCTCGGCAGCCAGGTCAAAGTCCTCGTCTGAATCGGCGCCCTCGGCGGCGGACGCCACCGCCAGGTCATACTTGCGCACGGTGTCCGAGATCTTGAGGGCGGCCACACGCGCAGCCTTGCGAGAAGGCCGGATATTCGACTGCGGAGAGTCCTGGAAAGTGAAAGGTGATTAAAACCTTTCGTCGGCTCCCAAAGATCGCCAATGATGGTTATGCTTGCCGTTAGTTTGTGCAAGGGGGTGCTTGACTTTCCCAACAGCACTTAGGAATAGCATACTATGTGCGATCAGCTGTTCACGAGACAGAAGTTTGTTGAGGGGAATAGAAAAATCGGAGTATCGGCTACAGTTTTTTTGCGAAAACTTGCACATTTTTTTATGGTTCCTCTCACAACACGACATTAGCAAAATAACTAACAAAACCTGAGAATAACAACAAGAGGAAAAGCCAACAAAACAAATGACAGCTCAAGTTTATTTGAAACTGTTTAAATACATGCATGGTTTACTTTCCCTTCTGCTCTTTTCCTTTACAGCCTTTGGAGATGTAACCTGACATGTAAAACACACCTTACAGCACCAAGCACATTACACTTAGTATTTTTGTGGCTCACATATTGACGGTATCAGAGCCAATCTTAGAGTAGCCCCAACATGACAGGAGATAATTAAGCTTTTAGCTCATTGATAACTACTAGAGCACTCAATATCACTCATACAAAGTCATGTGATTGTAAAATGAGCTATAACTCCTTAGTTCGTAATTTGCATGCACTGCTACAATACGAAACAGTCACACCTGCCATATAATGGCAACTTGGGCCATAGATTAAAAAAATGTGTCATGTGTTCTAGCTATATTAGTACAGAATCTATGGAAATGCACCTGCTATGAAGGAGCATAGTAGGTAGTTGCAGGTAATTTTGCCATAAAAATCAGTGTATGTACTAACACCAATGAGGAATCTTTGGGTTCATTTTCAAAACACAGGCTAAGCAACTAAACCTGTGCTTTTAGTGACATGAACTAGACTACCAAGATCAAAAATGGTATCAGGAGAATGCACTGGCAAGACGAAAATAATCCCTGGAGAAGGGGAACAAGAGGGACAAAGGACAAACACAAATCTCCAAACACAGCTAGGCGACTGGTGAGCGACCGAAAAAATCTGCCTGGTTTAAGTATCGAACCCGGGACCTCTCCATTACAGGTGGAGCGCTCTACCAACTGAGCTAACCAGGGGTTAGACGCCAGTAGAGCAAACGGGTTTTATCAGCTGCCACCAGCCTAACATCAACAAGGGTGAAGCTTGCAGTTTAAGGTTATAATTATAATACAATTAAATGCAGAGGTGCAAGCGAGCCGGACAAGAATGATGTCCTTTTCGTCATTCTTGTCCAGCTCGCTTGCACCTTTGCATTTAATTGCATTATAAATATGCACTGGAAAGCTTTTTCAGCAATACCATAGTAAGGACAATTGTAACTAAAAAAATGACCGCATCTCCACGTGGTGAATGATGTTGATTGCGGCAAAGCTCTGGTGGTGCTGATGATACTGATTTTGTTCATAGGTAGTGCTGATGGTGGTGATTTTTTTTTTATTGCTCATAGGTAGTGCCGAGTTCCAGGTTGCATTGGTATGGAATGTGTGGTATGGAACGTGGTTATATATGTATTTAAGCATTTGACTGCAGCGCCCTCTCGTCTATAAACAATAAGCCAATGCATGCAAAGTTTAACACGATTATATACGCATCTGACCGCAGCGCCCTCTCCTGTATAGACAGACGTTAAGCGGCAACATGCAACGTTTCATCCATGACATCCCCAGCTTTTGAGTTACTACCACATCTCAGAGCCCCCTACCCATACCGCAGTCGTGGCTGAGTGGTTAAGGCGATGGACTAGAAATCTATTGGGGTCTCCCCGCACAGGTTTGAATCCTGTCGACTGCGCAAACAATTTTTCTTTTTTTAAGAAGACAGATGGGATGGCAATCGATGTGAGCACGGACGCCAGACGGACAAGGCTAAACCCTAAGGAGCTTCGCCCCTAATATGTGACAAGTTAAGAATGCAGTAGAAGCTTCCCCTGTCCTCAATGACACTTCTGTTAAATGCCCAAGCACAGCCAAAGCATGAATGAAGGCAACAAGCACACATGATGAAAGCAGGGTTTCTACTGCATTCTTAACCTGTGATAGACTATAGTCAACTGTCATTATATAAAATTAAAAAAAAAAAAAAAAACTACACTCTTGGCTATATGGCGATTATTTTAATGTATTTACAAATCACTTAGTTCATACGCAAAAATTTGGCTGGTTATTAAATCTAGGAGAGCTGTCCTTCGTATTGAACCAATCAATCCATACTGACGGTGCAACGAATGAGTGATGGTTAGCAAGAATGTAGCCTCTAAGAATAATGACGGCCACTCCTGTCTTTGCCACATGCGTAAGCATAGGAGTTAATTTCTTTTTCTTATTCTGAAGTGCTAAGCAAGGAGTCAACAACTATAGACCATTCCATTTAGCGCTCTCTGAGAGGCACCATTTTGTTCAACCGCAGCGCCCTCTCCACACATCCGGGAAGTTCAGCGGGTTCGGCGGGGTAAAACGAGAGAGAGGGCACGCGCCCGACTCCACTAGGAGACGACAAACTGGGAGGTTGCCGTTCTCCATCTTTGGGCTGTATCGGCGGGCAGTATGGAACATCGAACTCTCGCATGTGGCTGCCGTTGTGAAGTGGTTCGCGTTCTTAGAATAGTTGTGGCTACTCCAAAATCACCCTATAGCTCTCAGTTGTTCTATTTCGCTAAATGATCAACTAGCATATCCTTTTTCCGTTACTTAAATAGCAGTTGAGTCAGCCAGCAGTACTACCCTCGACTACTGCGTGTATTGCGGCAGGAGAGCATGTTTTTTTTATTATTTCAGACTTCCAATCATGGTTGCTAAAGGCCTACACCAGTACGAACTTTGTATAGTAAAGAAAGGTACAGCAATCGGATTTACTTTTCGCCAAAGAGACCTGCCAATCTGACACAGTTTTCCGTTTTTTTGTTTTTTTATTTGCACGCAGGTAACAGCACAATTGGACGCTGCGAGTCTTTTTATCTAGCATAGTATTACACGACAACTGGCATACCAAAATCTGCGCATCTGCGCTTGAAAGTTCCAAAATGACGCGATTTTAAACAGAGTTTGCACGCCAGCCAGACGCTAGCTACAGCCCACTCGGCGGAGCGGACGACGTGCGGGGTGAGAGGGGGAGTGCATTTTTTTCTCTTTTACCCTCTCTGCTATGACCCTAATGGAACGGTCTATACTTCAAGACAACTTCCTGAAGTAATTATAGCTATGGCCACTTGTGCACCCAAGCACCTTCAGCACTGATCAAAGCTGCCTATGCATGTGCACTCCTCACTTCTGAAATGCCACATAACTTTATTCCAGAGTATAGAAGGCTTTTCCAACTTGTGATAGTTATTAAAACTGGGCTCCACGAAGCAAATAAGCGACAAAGCTTATTTGGTGGAGTCTGACTGCATGCAGTGTCAGAACAGTTGTTGTTGACATCGCAAGCTGAGTGAACGTGTTAGTTACATACTTGTGCTTTGCATTTTGTTTGTACAAACTATTTCCTAATTATACACTTGTAGCTTTTGTTTTATTTTATAATTCAAACAATAATGATTGAGTCAAATTGCCAGAGAAATTGCTACGAGTTAGAGTAAGGAGCCCAGCGTTTCCTAGTCATATTCAGAATTCCAACTGCATCAACCGCTTGGTGACAAGAAAAATGATGTCGCAAGGAAAGGGGCCATTGCCTACGAGCAGAGTGCAGATCACAGGAATTGCGTGGCACACCAGAAGCTTCAACCCACTTACATCCAAATACCATTTAGCACAATATAAAATGTGCTTCGACTAAGTGCAGGATGGCACAGAGCCAGCAAAACAGAATGCTTTCTTCATTTGAGCATGTGCAAGATAAAGCCTGTCCATCAAAGCTCCCCCTTAAAACTACATCTTAGCCCTTCGAAGGCCATGTGTCGGATGTCACTCGACAAAGAAATATTCCCTATGATCAGGAGTTGGGGCTTTCCCGACAGTCTCATTTCTGCTTTGCAGCCAATTGTTGCACACGCCCTGACAATTTAGACTTGCGTCATTCACCATAGGAGTGAAAGCATGATGCCTTCCATTTCGTACCTTTATGTGAAATAGCTCAAGCAATAACTTTTTTTTTTTCTTCTTAGACCAGCGGACTTTTGCGCGCACGTTCACACCTTGTTTATTATAGCAGATTTTTTCTCATTCGCTTTTGTTAAGCCTCGTGAATTCATGAGGCGCCTGTCTCCATGGCTTCGTGCATGCGGGGTGATTAGAGAGAGTAAAGTCGCCTTTTGACCTCTGTTTGCCCTTGTGACCAATAAAGGGTGCTTCGGTGCCCTCTGCCGGTGGCTGGGAGAAACTAGAGCCACTAAATAAGCTACGCTTCAGAGTGACAACATTTCAGCCATCTTGGTGCATAAAATCAGGATTGGCACTATGGGGATTCCTGTAGTCTACCTTCCCTGATGGCTGTGATACCGGCCACAGTTCGAAACGCTTCGCCTCCTTCACTGTGAGCTCCGACCTGTTCGTGAGGCGGAGGGTCCCGTCTTGGAGGGCCCTCCCCTCACTCTCTCTCGGGGGCGCCTCTTTCCGTTCCCCTGCTCGGATGCGGAACACTGCTGACAGGCGAAGAAGTTTGGCCTTGTCTTTTCCCGCTTTCAGGAAGGGCAGTTGTTCGGTGACCCCGAAAGAGATAGCACACATATTGGCGACTTCTCTAATGCTTTCCCGCCCACTGGCTCTCCGGAACCCTGCGTCAGGCAGGTAAGGACCTTTTCTTACCTTGCCGGCGCGGGGGGCATTTTGAATGGGGACACAGTAGTTCATGTTGAGAGTGTTTTAATAAATACACTTGGACAATGGCCTTTCTCTGGTACGTGTCTTCTCTTTTGCTATATTCGTGACAGTGAGACAAGGTAGACGATCATTGGCACCGACGGAGGTAATTTATCGAACTGAACCGCGGCAATGTGTCCCTAAACGTAGTCTATATTGCCGCAAAGATGTGGGGACCACGCTACTAGGTTTGATGTTGTTGAGATGGCCCTTTGGTTACTGTATCGGTACCTCTGCTTGGTAGCTAGCAAAATCCCCTACCAGTTATCTGAAATCGCAGGAAATGCTTTTCCGTCCTTCAGAAATGTTAAAACAGTCTGCGACAGAGAAAAACATTATCACCCGAGCTCTCAAACACAGTATCTAAAGCTGAGGAAGTTGCATTTTTTAATTGTGACAATCGACAGTTCGCGTTTGCTGTGCACTAAGCACCAAGATGGCGGCGCCCACTAGCAGATCGGGGAACGGAGCGCAGATACCACAGACCATTTCATTTAGAGCTCTCAGGGCGGCGCCAATTTGTTCGACTGCAGCGCCCTCTCCAGTCATCCGGGAAGTTCAGCAGGTTCGGCGGGGTAGAAAGAGAAAGCACGCACCTGATCCCGCTGGCAGACGACAAACCGGGAAGTTGCCGTTCTCAAATCTTTGGGCTGTACCGGCGGGCTGTACCGAACATCAAACTTTCGCACGTGGCTGCCGTTGTGAAGTGGTTCGCGTTCTTGGAATATTTATGGCTGCTCCAAAATTAGCCTATAGTGCTCTGTTGTTTTATTTCAGTAAATGATCAACTAGCGTATCTTTGTTCTGTTCCTTCAATAGCAGTGGAGTCAGCAGGCGGTACTACCCTCAACCACTGCGTCTATTGCATCCATGAGAGTACATTTTTATTTATTATTCAATATTTCCACTCATGACCGCTAAAGGCCTGCACCAGTACAAACTTTGTAGAGTAAAAAATCTACAGCAACCAGATTTATTTTATGCCGGAGAGACCGGCCGCTCTGAAACAGTTTTCCGGTCTTTTTGTTTTTCTATCTGCATGCAGGTAACAGAGCAATTGGACCCGGTTAGTCTTTTTATCAAGCATAGCATTACACAATAACTTCCATATCGAAATCCGCGCATCTGCGCTTGAAATTTCAAAAATGACGTGATTTTAAAGAGAGTTTGAACGCCAGCCGGATGTTAGGCACAGCCCACTCTGCGGAGCAGACGACACAAAAGCTGAGAAAGGGAGGGCATTTTTTCTCTCCGCTCTTCCTTGTGGAACGGTCTATAAGCGCAGCTCATTTAGTGGCATGTTTTCAGCATGTAGTCAACAGATGGACCTGGTCCAGTCTGCTTGGACCATGTGGAAGCCGGCTCGCCGGCTTCCGAATTCCCACTTTTTATAAAAACTATGTTAACGATTTGAGTGACAATGAAGGTAATTTTAGCAGACAAGACAACTCTGCAGAGCACTGTGAAAGTTTCTGTGATGGATCCCCAGACAATGGCTGTTACGAGTTCTGTGAATGCCAGTGATCAGGAGAGTCTTATGGACATTGCAATTTCTCAAACCTGGACAGCCTACAAAAATGCAGACCACAATTTGGAAACTCCTTGTTGCACACTCCAAGGTACAGAGTCAGACACCACTTAAAACACTATGTTCTCAAGGATGCTTCGGTGATACATTTTATTTATGACCGCTGAGTGATTGTATTGTTTTAGTGTAAAATGTTTCTGACTCAAGGGACCAACAAGGTGCAAAGTAGCACGACCCCAAAATTTTAAGCTTGATTTACATTGCTTATAAAATCTCCACAAGAGGAAACAAACTATCAAGGACAGTGAACGTTTCAAGATCATACCTGATCCAAGTCACTGTTGTTAGCAGCTTCGAGGAGGATCAGCTCACGGCTGGTCTTCCGTTTCCGCTTAACTCCATCAGGATTAGGGCTAGGCTTTGGCTTGAACTTGGGCTTGGAAGGAGATGGCTCCTGTCCCGAGAGGCGCATAGAAGGAACCGCAATCTTGCGCACCACCCCTCGCTCGGCATAGTCAAAAGGGCGGAAGTGTCGCGAGCACACAAAGAGGTCATCCGCCTCGGCTTGCTCCTCTGTGAGACCAACAGCTGTAACCCACTTGGCTCGGAGTCCATCCCCTTTTTTGGGAAAGGGGTGCCACCAAGTGCCAGTGTTGTCACACACCGAAACGGCGCACACCTTCATCATCGAGACGCGTCAACTACAATGCTGTACATCTTGCTAGATCGCTCCCTCCTCTGAAATGAGAAAAATCAGCAGGAGACACATCTGTCAGGCAAAAAGCAGATACGAAAAGTAATAAACAAACAAAATGTGAAGGAAGGAAGCAAAACTGCTCTGTGTGTAAAAGGCGAAAGTTTGTGTTACACATGAGAAATAGAGCCCTGCATGGGCTCGGGCTGGGCAGCACGTATCGTCTTTAAGCAGGGCTTAAAGGGGCCCTGCAACCATATCTAAGCATCTACCTTTTTTGCAGTTTCCACGTCCCTCAGGGTCCGACCAAGCCAGCGGGCACAGAGAGAGTAACTAATACCCTTGTTACACGGGCACACTTAACTGCAGTTACGCTAAGCCACAGTTAGCGCACAATATTTGCCAACAACATTCGGCGGCTATGCAGTCAAAGCTATGGGCGAACGTGCGCTCGAGCATCTTGATCATCCATCGAAGCAGTGCACGCGCGCTCTTCACTTCTTCTGAAATGGCTGTTTGAGAGTATAGTGCGGTATCAGTGGTGCCGCGTAACAGCAGTTAAGCTGAGTTAACCGCGGTTAAGTGTGCCCGTGTAACAGGGGTATAAATATCAGTGCGTTATATTTTAACCGGACGACGCGGAAACCTCCTCCACCTACGGGAGTGACCCGCGGTGCCGAAAGCGCGTGATATGTGACGTCTTAGGTCCTGGGCTTACTACTGGTCAGAGCCGCTAAAAGCTTCTTTTTTGTCAAAATACAAAATATAGGTGGCGCGAACCGTTTCAATTATTTATAAAAGTAGTTTTTGTTTACTATTTTAGATCAGAAAAGAAACAAATGCAGTTTGTAAAGTACGGAAACGAGAAATGACCCGTCGACATACCCGCCATTAAGCAGTGGAAAAGGCGGCGCATACTAGAAAGGTGTTGTGGGATCAGGTGCCAACGAGCAACGAGCGTAGAAAGCTACCGGATGTATGTGGCAGCGCTGCGGTCGTACGGACTGGCGGATCCGACCGGTTCCGAGCATTCCCAAGGCCTTCGGCGAACAGCTTTGGCTTGATGTTTGGCCTTTCGGCGGTATGGCAGCGCGAAGTGGCTGCCGTTCTAAACTGATCTTTACCCCGTGTTTTCCGTTGTTTGTGGCCAATGAAGTGTCATGCCGAATTAGTCTTTAATTGCACAAAAAATGCAACGCAAGCCGCCCTGGCTGCCCGTTTCATACAGTCTATCCAGGAGAAGATGCTTTAGTGGCGCCCTCTCGAGCCGTCGACACTGAGTGCAGCAGTCGTGACAGCTCGCTGAGCTCACTACCGCTCGTCTAGTTCACGGCCACTCACGCAACCAAGGACGTCATGAAGGAGGTTTTTTTTGCTTGTTTTTGTAATTTTAATTTGCCTATAACTTCTAAAATATAAAAAAATTAGAGAAAAGTTTCATTAAGTTACTACGTTAAGTGCGCTCAGGTTCGGTGCAAATTAAAAACCAGTAAAAAAAAGTCCTTGCAGGGCCCCTTTAACACTCCGACAGCACAAACCTTCTTCTATGTTAGAATATGAAGGCAGTACATTAGTGCTCTTCTTTTTCTCACCTCAAGTCTGGTTTAACATGTCTGCTGTCCTGACTGAAACAGAACCCGTGTGCTTAAGAACATAGCTCTATAAAACCATGAAGCAATAAATAAAGCATTATTATTATTATAGACCGACACGCTGTTTACAAACAAGCCCGCCTTTGCCCACACCAGGTGTGGGCACTGCGCGTGCGCAGAAACCGAATTCACGTGAAGTGAATCGTCTGCGCATGAGCAGTGCCGTCGACAGCACCACCGCAGCTGCGTGACGCCACGGCCGCGTGTTGGTCTATAAGATGCTTCTCAAGCTAAAGGTGGCATCTTGTACATGCAGCTTTTGTTTAGTTTAAAGATCAATGAACGAACTCAGCAGCGCCAGTCTCTAAAGCACGAAAGGCTTTTGAAAGGAACCCATCCACCCATGCAATTCCCTGCTAAAGTTATTAACAGGAAAACTGACGTTATGTGACCTGGCATCACATGACATTTACACCAATTCAGTTATCCTGCTAAATGTAGCAGGGAAATTGACTTCACGTAACCTACAGACCAATTGTTTCACCATTAAAACTTAGCGGAAAAATTTACGTCATGTGACCTAATCGCCACTTCAGCTTCCCCGCTAAATTTAATGGGAAAATTGGTGTCACAAGGCCCGACATTACATAACTTATGCATTCACACATGGCTCCGACGTCACGCTGCTGCGGTGGCGCTGCTGTCAGAAGGGCACATGCACGAATCACATTTCTATGCCCGTGTGGTGCCGACACCCAGTGTGGCCAAATGCTGACTTGTTTGTAAACAGCGTGTCGGTCCATACACCAATTCAGTTTTCTCGCTAAAGTTAGCAGGCAACTTGACATCTATTGACATCTGGATGAATTCAGCTGCCCTTCTAAGTGTAGCAGGGGCGATCGTCGAAATATATAGGGTCTTCACTCCAAAAACAACTGTTTGACGTCTTCTAAACAAATTGAAACAATTGTTCTCAAGCACTTCATTCCATGCATGTAGAACTTCGGACATAAAGGTCACTAACATTTCTTTTTCCTGAGCGGATCAAGTGCAACAACACTTTACCAAGACTGCTTTGGATTTAGGAGATGTTTCATCTCCCAGTTGGGGCATCCCCACCTCAGGTCGGGTAAAAGTCATGGCGAATTTCACTGGTCGTTTTGGAGCGTGCTGGGATTAACTTTTCTGGAGCACGCCTATTTCACTGGGCGATCAGGATCAAGACAGATGCGTTCCCCTAGCCGTTTTGGATCAGCTTCCACTCCAGATCTCCGCCGCAATCCAAATCCAAAAAAAGTCACTTTGCTGATTTCAGCAGATTCAACCGGAAGCCAGAATGGCCAGCCCTCGGCGCGCACATGTGACTTGCTTTCTCATTGGGCATCTCGCCTCAGAATTCGTAATGGCCACTCGTGAAGTGCCGCCCGCTTTACTGCTGCTGCTGCTGCTGCTGCTTGATGACAGTTTGTCATCAAGCTGCTTGAGCAGCTCCTCCAGCAGCAGCAACAACAAGGATTGTTTGTATATGTCAGATGAATTCCGACTGCCTTCTCGGACCTCGGCAGAAGAGGTTGAAAATCGAGACATACTTGGACACTGTTCATGAGTTTTCCGATGAGGAGGCAAGTCGGCTACGCTGATGCATATGCTTATCGACATGCATCTTTCACATCATGATTAACTCCGCTCGTGCATTGAACACCTGTTTTTAGCACTGCGATTGCAAAAACCGCAAAAAAAAAATCTGCTTCCCAGATCCCGGATTGCGGTAAGGGGATTCCTAAGAAGGCCGATCCCCAAGGAGTGGTCACGTTCCACTGGGGATCCGGGGGTGGAGCGACTTCGTTCGGATTGCATGCTCCATCTCGGATCTGGTCTACTGATCTTGGCGCACTCCAAAACGACCAGCGGAATTGGTCACGAGTCAGCAGACCCAGGCTGGGCCTCGAAAAGTAGGCCCGTGCAGAGCCCTAACAAGAAAACCCTCATCAGGAATGTAACTTTCTTCTCATTCTTCCACTTACCGAGAAAGAGGCAGTTTTATTCCCTTTTTAATTGATAAAACTAAAAGGCATTAAAGTTTTTATGAACAACTGCTTTAAAAAATATTTTTGAATGCTCATATTATGAACACAATTTAATCATACTACATCCAACCAAAGTCTGCGAAGCCTGAAGGCATGACAATAAAATCATCCAAGTATAAACAATTCTGTACTATGGCCTGTAGAGTTGCTTCAATAAAAGACCTCCTGTCTTTTAAGCAGTCCAGAGGTTCTTAACCTGCAAATGATACTGCTTTGTTGATAACCTATCCCTGTGCACAAAAGATTAGGGCTAAGGCAAAGATAAAAAGGAAGAGCATGCATGTTTGTAGAGAGTTAACCATGATAACTTCCATGTAACGGCATTATGTGTCGAACTAAACAACCAAACAGATACCGTTCTCACCTATGTGGGCTATCTCGAACACCGCTGCGCGCACGTCTCGAGCAAGTAAATTACAGGCACAGATATTACAAGCCAGGACAAGGTCCAGGTCCATCTGGCAGCGCTAGTCTTGAGACCATTGCCTAGGGAGCCCACCATTGCTCATAGCGTCTGATGTTCCGCAGGTGGCGAAGCACGCACAGTTCCGCCATTTCTCTCATTTTTAGAATGCGAAAGGGAAATTTACTCGGAGATTACGTTTCAGATTTCACAAAAGATAAAAACTCTCTTCCCTACAAGCGGACGCGGAGTGCGTGATAGGCAGCTGGCTCCATTGTAACCTTACACGCCTTAGTTAGTTTCAATCGCACAAAACAAGTACGCGAGTAAAACATATCTTTTAAACGCTATCGATTTTTCTAGCTTTTATCGTTTTTGTTTTGTTTGGTTAAATTAAGCACGGTTAGTCACGAGGGTCGGTCACGGGGTGTACTTCTGCTGCCCGCTGCAGCACTCCTAGTGGGCTTTTTAAAAAAATGGCGTCTGGTGATTCGAACACACTTCCTCCTACGCGAGCGGCACTCGAGATTCGCGATTCGGAGCGCGCCACTTTAAAACTGTGCAGTTTCGCTGTGCATACCTCGGGGAAACGTCGCAGTGCGATCTTGTGGCGAGAGTCGATAAAGGGCAAGCATGCACGGAAGCCCAAGGAACAGCTCCTTGAAATAAAGCGGAATACGAACATACATCGGTCACGAAAACGCGTCCATTCTTCCTCTCGAACAGTGTTGCCAACATCGACCAACGACGAGCGTTACCATGGCTGCGCACGGCGCACGCGACGCTTTTACGTTTTTCAGGTGCTTCGGGGGAACCTCGCTCAAAAGAATCCTGGGATGCGCTAAATGCTTCAAATAAAAACCAATGAAGAACGTTAGAAATTTTACTTTTGATTCTTTTGATACACACCTGCGTGCGTAGACTTTTTTATTTTTTTTTATTTGTTTGTTGTTAGCTAGTTGTCTCTGTGGCAGCATGGGCTGTTTTCTTTTGCATTGTTTTGTGCGCGGAAATAAATATTGAACAACTAATTCTGGGCAGTTCATGTGCTGTTAACAAAGCAGTGCATTAAGCGCAAAGGCGGTGGCGGAGTATAGGGTATCGTTATCGGAGTCATCGGAACGATTAATTATTGAATGTGAAGTTTTGAGTAAGAATTATTTGCTTAGTACACGCTGATCGCCTTCTATACTTGTTTACTCATGCTATCGGAACCACTGATCGGAACTCTATTTTGTTTTAGAGAAACTATTTCTTTTTCTTTTCTTAAGAAATTAACAGCGTTAATATTTATAAAGTCCTATGGGAGCGTCAGGACGCCGAGCTCGGATTGGCTCTGATTGAAGGATAGCGGGTAGGCCTCAAGACAGCTCTCTTTGAGGTCTACCCACTATCCTTCAGGCCTGCCCAGAGTCCTGACATAGTCCTGACGTCACCACAACTCTTGCAAAAGAAGCAGACGAACTTTGCTCTCCGCTTACGGTTAAAAATTGAGGGAGAGGAGGACGCAGAGGGGGGGGGGGGGGGGGGGGGGGCTGGCGTTTGAACGCATATGCCGGACGGCAGCATTCGGAGTTAATTTGAAAGCATTCGAAGGTTGAGTAGGGGGATCGGTGGCCGAGTGGAGGGAAAGCTCGCGCTGCAGAACCCAGGGATCATGGGTTTTGCACCTCCTGGAAGAGAAGGCCGTAGCCAATACCACCTCCGAGTGGTTATGTCATGTCGAACGAAGAAAGGCCATGGCGCAACTACGTGAGAAATTATATGGTATCGACGTGGGAAAAAAATATGTTTGACGAGCGGCGCGGTGGTGTTCGTCAAGGAGGTTATAAGTACTAGGAGGGGGCACGCTATAATATTAGTGACTCGGTGAGGTCTAGTCATAAAAATTTTAAACGATGTTGTGGCCAACGTGATCATAGATCTCTCTGGCAATTAGTGCGCGTAACATGTCACGTTTGAGATAGATGGTTGATTGTAGGCTTCCTTGCAGGTTGCTCGCGCTCCATCCGGTAGGTTTTATAAGATCGAAGGCTAAACGAAGGCTAGCTATGGTCACGTGATGTGGTCACGTTGGCCCGATAAGTGAGGAAAGTAAGGAGGAAAATGAGAAAGAGGCGAAGTGTCAAGGGAGCATGGCTTGTGGAGGCTACGCAGCTGATGTCATACCCTCTCCTACCCTTCTATCCTCCTTGGTGTTCGTGCGCGTTTATCCGACATTAATATACGTTTTAAAATGCGGTCTTGTCTAATTTATTATATATATTATATAATATAAACGTAATATACAACGCGTTACCAAGGTTGGAAGTACCAAATTTACAGTTATGATTATCCCCATAACCACGGGGCTACGTGCAGTCCTGTAGTACCCCCGACTTTTCGAATGAACCGGCCGGGTGCGGCATTTTCTTCCCTCATACGGGTTCCGGTTCTGGTAAATTTACGTTGTGTGTGAGCTGTAACATGTCAAAAAGGAAGGAAACCGAAAAAAAAAAATCCAGTCATTGCCGCAGGGAGCGCACACGAGCAAGAGATGGGTCGACAACGCTAAGCCTTTCGTCGCCGCTGTCCTCGCGTGTGGTTCTGTTGAGACTTGTTTCCTTCTTCCCGTCGTTTGTCTGTTGTCACCGCAGTCTCGTGTTCGCTTGATACAACGGCATTTACGTGGATTCGCGGAACAAGTCCTGCTACGGTTTGAGTGACATGTGTGGCAAATAGTCAACGATGACACATGGTCGATTATCGACATACCTCCCTCTCGACAAAGAGAGACTTGGAGTTCGTGTTAAAAAGTTTTCGTGGCGGATGGACACGATGGACAGGTGAGAAACAACCTATTTACGGGCTTTCTTTGTCATGTATAACGCAAATAAATTGCTGCAGTCGTTTTTTTTTCTTTTAATCAAGTGATAGAATGGATTTTTGTTGTTCGTCGTTATCCGTGTTCACTTGCGTCGATATTTGTAAATATGCCTGGTAATCTAGTTTTTACTGGAACGTAAATAACAAGTTTGTGTAATTATTGAAAGTGGGTTGTTTGTGCTTACATGTTTATTTATACTAATGTTATTTTATTGGCTTTACCGCGTTTATACTAGAATCTTAACTGAGCTTGCAGGTTCGATTTTGCCAGGGAGCGCCACCGTCGATCCGCCATCTTCGAGGTCGCGGTTTGACCGGTTTGACTGGCTTGGGTTCACTTTTGCTTGGGTACGCGGCGGTCGTCCGTTGCACTGTGTGCTGCAAATTTCGTATCGTGAAGAAGCTTTGTTGAACAGAAGAGAGAGAGAGAGAGAGAAAAAATGTGTATCTCGGGAGCAAGACGTTTTAATCTTTTTTTTTTTTTTTTTGTTGCCGCCCAGTATTGTGTGTAAAGGCTGAACCGCATGTGAGCAATTTAGCGAGCAACGGGACGACGACGACCCGCTTCGGTGTCAGTTGCGCGACTCGCTCGGTTACTCGCGTGACGAGGCAAACCGCATGAAAGCGGCGGGAGCAAACGACCAAGGCGATGAGTGACGATTTCCAGAAATCCAAAAGCGGAGCGACCGTGAGAAATCTCCGTCGCTCGTCGCTCGCTAAATCGCTTACATGCGGTTCACCCTTCATTGTCACTCGTCGCGTAGCTCGGTTTTTAGATTTCTAGAAAACTTCGCTCATCGCCTTGGTTTGCTCTTATCGCTTTCATGCGGTTTGCCTCGTCGCGCGAGTGACCGAGCGACAGCGAAGCGGGTCACCGTCGCAATTGTCTCGTCGCTCGCCAAATTCCTTACATGCGGTTTTTAAATTGTTTGGGCTAATGAAAAGTGCGCCGCGCTGCACGGTATGTTTCTGCACAGGAACGAACACCGAAGGCACGACGTACGACACGGAGGCGATGGGGCAACGCGCGGTTACACGTCCGTAAAGCAAAAAAACCGCTAGAAAAAAAAAAAAAGAAAGAAACTAGCAAAACAAAACAAGGAGTAATCACACCGTGCTACAAAAGCACCAAAGTAGAAAGTTCTTGCAAAAGAGCTACCGCCGTGGGCCATACCTCGGCAAACTCACTCATGAACTCGCTCACTCACACTCACCGCATGATTGTGAGTAGCTGTGAGCGAGTTCGTGAAGTTTGAAGAGGTCATGATGTGGATCATGAGCGACTTCATGAGCGTGATGAGTTCATGATGAGGTGGTGAAAGACTTCGTGAGCATGATGAGTTTGTGATGAGATTGTGAGTAGCATCGTGAACGTGATAGGTTCGTGATCTGATGGGGAGTGAGCCCGTGAACTCTGAAACGTTCGTGATTGTGAGTGAGTTCATGAGTTCATTCAGACGCTGAGATGAGCTTAGCTGTTGGCGTTTCTTGCGCAAATTGTGCTGTTTGACTTTGGAGAGCTGGCTGAGCGGTGTCGCGAAAGAGAAGGGGGGAGGGGGGATATTGATGGCAAGGGTGGTGCGGACCGTGCGGGTGGGGAAGTGTTTTTTTCTTTTGTGAACGTGCGACTGTTGCGTTTGGTTGTGTTTTCAATGAGTTTCCGTGCTTGAGCAGATGGATGAGCTTGAGGGGGTGCTTAGGCGTCGCAGAAGCAAAGATGCACAGAGGTTTTTGTGTAGTCGGAATGGAGTATGGCGTCTTCCGCGTGTAAAAGAGGGGAGTCGTGGGCTGGGGATGTGGCGTTCGCAGCGCAAAGAGCTGAAGTTTGTTCGCCAGTAATTTCATGCCGTCGAGTTGTGTTCGCGCAGCCTTTGGAACGTTTTAAGTGCTGTGTGCATCACGCACATCGGGCTCGGGAAAAAACAGGCGGTAGCGGGGCTTACAAATGGGGAGGGGAGGGGAGGGCGGGCGGGCCCGAATTTACGTCCGGCGGGGCCCGAAATAAAAATAAAGTTACGTCCGACGTAACCCAATATGAAAATTAAAGTTACGTCCGACCGAACTCGAAATAGAAATTAAAGTTACGTCCGATCGCACTCGAAATAAAGAGTAAAGTTACGTCCGACGGAACCCGAAATAAAAGTTAAAGTTACGTCCTGTCTAACCTACGCAACCTACGCGTATGTTTCGCTTTATAGCCAATACATGACATAAATACAAAAAAAAATATTGTGAATTATTACTGCGTTACGTCCGATGCAGCATTCGTGAATCGGGTGAAATCTCAACTCTATCCGTATCCCCAGCTTTGTTGAGAAGCCCGAGTGGCTGAGCGTGTGTGGCCCTCTTCTCGAGATGCGGGAATTTTAATGAGCGCTGCCGAATGTGCCGCAGTGCCTTTTTATATGGAATTTGTACCACCTGCTTTCTTGCAATAAATAAAAAAATCTTCAGCTTTGTTGAGAGGGCTGGAGTGTGTTCCTCGCACATCGAGGCTGCTGAAGCTCGGTGGGTTCGATGCCCGTCACATACATTTCTTTCTATCTTTTCTTTACAATTTATTGCATATTTGTTCGATATGAAAACACGACTTGCT